TACAACTGACTACAGCCAAAACGACTCAAAAAATGGAGAACAAAGGTAAAATAACCTAAACACAACGAGACACGCTTGGAACGACTCAAAACAAGATTTGAGACAAACAAAACGACTGACACGACACACATTCCAATGGCAAGAGACCTCTCAGTGCACGAGGAACCAGTTTCTTCCGGGTATTATTTCCCACCCTTTTTCTCATTTGTGATTCTCACATCACTCGGCCCTCAGGCTCTGTTTTTCTAAAAAAGCCCTTTTTCTCACTTTTTCTCTCAATGCACATCTCTCTATTCTTCAATCTCTCATTTTTTATCCTTTCCCTGGGTGGTTGATGGATAAGCTGGAAATTGTCGGCTCTTGCCTCTGGTATTCTACCAGATTCTCATTCTTGTTCACAATAGTGAGTTTCTCCCACAGAAGGGCTGCGCTACAACTGGGTGTGTAGCAAATCTGCAGCTAACATCGGTTGATGATGCTCTGCTGGGGAGTTTGAACATGATCAGATCTGTCCAGATAAGGGAGTGGAATATCTTGTCCCATTCCGGTTTGTGCTTTGCACTTGGCTTGATACCTCGCTGCTCGGAGGGTGAGAGAGCTTTCAGCCCTTTTGCTGTTAACTTCAGTGGTGCCCTTTTTCTGGCAGATATAGTGCCCTTCTGGCAAGTAGCTGACGACGGGAAAAAGACAAAACACCTGACTCAACTGTGCCCCTATTTCATTATTTTGACCATTTTTTGTTTTTGGCTTTCTACTAAAACAATTTTGACCAAAATGAGAGTTAGATTAACATGCTTGTTCAATTTTCTGATTTAAAATCATGCAAGTCAGGCTATGAGCACTGAAAATTTTCCTTTTTTGGGTCCAAGAAATGGTCCAGTTTTGAAAAAGATGGAATAATTTTTGAGAGATCAGTCAACCTCAGTAAAAATTCTCAAAAATTATTTTTGCAAACGGCCAGTGCTCAACGAGCACGGAACTTACTCTTGAGATGCACAACCTCAGATCCCAAGGAAAATTGCCCCTGGTTTGAAGAGAGATGCATGGCAACGGAAAGTTGCCCCTTGTTTGAACGGCACCGCAGCGCATTGAATGGCAACGGAAAGTTGCCCCTTGTTTGAATGGCACCGCAGTGCATCGTAGTCAGTCCTTAGAGTGACGGTTACAACCGAACTCTCGGATTCAGAGAAGGCAAAGATGATCAAAATCATTACATGGACACAATCAGTTTGGAAGTGTTTGTGGCTGGACTTCAGAATGAAGTTGCCTACGTATCCCTAACATGGGAATCAAGCCTTACGTAGTTCGGGTTAAGGTACACTCGGGTATTGACCCTCACCTTTTACGCTCTAACTTTTGCCAAGGCCGCCTTACCGGGTTTTCAACCTTGCGAGCTTTGTTTTTCTTTTTCTTTTTAATTCTTTTCATTTTTTTCATCTTTTCTTCATTCTTTGCATTTTTTCTCTTTTTTTTTTTTTTTTTTTTTTTTTTTTTTTTTTTCTCTTGCTCTAACTTTTGCCTGGGTCGCCCTTCTGGGTTTTCGGCCCAGCGAGCCTCTCAAGGGTAAAAGTGTAGCTTTGTCCATGTCAAATGGTTTTGAGATCCCGAAGTCATCTGAATCCAGGAGAATGGCTGCTGTTCGCTGATGATGCAGGAGTCTATCCAATGGGGGGCTGAATTTGCCCCTAGTGTTGTGGATCGGAACTCAGCTTTTCTTCAGCAATACTTTCTTCTTTCCTCCCTCTGGATTTGACATTCTTGCTGACCTTCTTTGATTTGTGGAATGATCCATCTTCGGCTCTTCGAGCACATTTGAAATTCTTTGCCCCTAGTTCCAGGGATGCTTCTGATCTAGCTTTGCAAGCTTCTTTTGATGACATCTGGTCTTCTTGATCTGACTTTCTTGCCTCTTGTTCGAGGGCTGCTTTGAATCTGGCCACACAGGCCTCACGTTGTAGTTGACCATTGAACATTCTGAATTTAAGTCCAAGGTTTGACAATAAGGGGTCGAGTCTTGAGGCTGAGAGCGATCCTAGGCTGCACAATCTCAAGAGCGATTCTACATAGGTCTTCGCAGGATCGCGCAAAACATTTTTTTGAAATCTTTTAAGAAAGTGACAAATCGCTCGCGCTAAAGACAATGCGGAACCAATCTGGATCAAGTCAGGATCCTTCTCAGTACTCACATTAACAAACATGATCTCGATCATTAAGGGCTTAGCACGCCCCTCTTTCTCTCAATTGATCAATTTTACAAAACCCGAGGAATTCCTTCCTCTTCGTTTTTATCACAATGTTTTGAAAAAAGTTTTGAAAAACTTAGGTCGATGCAATGAATTCAAGGCACAGAAAAGACAGCTTCTAGTCAAATACTGCCATCTTATTTAGAATTTTTAGCACAGCTAGCACACGGCAGAAGCAAACACAAGAGTGTGAAAATCACTGCTGTTCCATTCAAATCTGTTGGCGTAACTGGCTCCAAGGCAGAAACAGACTCAAAAGAAAACAAAAGGACAAACACAAAACAAAATAGTGATATCCGAAGTAACACCCCCGGAATCACCCGACTTCTGTACAACAGGACTGACTCGATACAACAAGACAGACCCTTAATCAAAAAGACTAACTCAAAACAAAGAGACAGACTCAAAACAAAACCACAGAACTGACTCAACACCCAAGTCAGAGGCTACAAAAACCAGCATTCGCAAATGCTCAAAACAGTGCGTGCCACACGCCACATCTGAAATATACCGAGCGCCGCCCGCAGGTGGTCCAACCCCAGATCACATACTCGTGGTATCCTCGAAGTCCAAAAGCTCAGTGGTGACAGACTTTGCTGAGGTAGGTAGGAGGATGACCTCATTGTCGATCAAGTCCTGTACTTCATGGCGAAGACGGAAGCAGTTGTCAGTGGCGTGACCGGTTTGCTGATGGTACGCGCAGTACTAAGTAGCGTCATGGCCTGCTGAAAGATGACTAGGGAGATGCCTAGGCTCGAGGGGTTTAAGATGCCCCTTTTCAGCCAGGATTTGAAGTGCCTTAGACAGAGGCATGTAGAGGGCATAAAAGAGTCTGCGCCCTCGGGGCAGATACTTCGAAGTCCGTGGATTCTTGCTAGATGCACTAGCGAAAGGGTCGGCAGGCACAACTGAGTAGAAGGAACTGTTCTGGCATGATGGGACTTATCCTGGTTTTATGTCCGGCTTGAACTGCCCTCGGTTGGAGTGGGGAAAGCATCATCTACAGTCTTGGCCACAACTGCGAATACCTACTGCTTATTCATCCCCCCGGCTTTCAAAGCCTCGACTGCCCACAACAGTTGTTCAATGGGATCAGTGTCTGCCTTCATTTTGTTCTTACCTCTGGCCTCAGCCTGATTAAGGGTTTGGGTTGCTGTTGACATGTCATTGCAATAGCTCGGGACAACCTCAAGTTGGCTGAGCTCGATCACAATTCGCCCCAGTAGCGGGGGCTCCTGCGGTACAAAATTTTCGGCATATGATGCAGTTGGCGGCGAAGCTGACATTCCGTAAGCGAGATCCGCCACGGACCTCTGAAGGTCACCAATCATTCCCATTAATTCAAATGTGGTAGGTTCACGGGCCTGAAACAACTGGGGCTCCCAGATCGGGCGCGCAGCAGGCGACCTGGGTGGATGTGGTACATCAACATTGGTCTCGCTTTGCAGGATGATTCCTTGGTCTAATGCAGCTGCCATAACCACGATTTTCTCTGAATTTTGCATCATCATAGATCCGCTGAACTGAACGGAGGTGGTGCAACTGGTGACTGACGGATCAGATACCTGTCTTGCCTCAGCAAGGGGGAACACTAGCTATTCTGAACTAACTCTTTGAACCCCCACCTCTGAAAGAGAAAGCACATAGCATTTCAGCCCAAGCAAAACAGACGTAAGCATAGCTGAATCACTGTACTCTACTACTGATCACTGTTCTACAAAGTCGCTGCCCCAAAACTGAATCTGATACCCGCAGATATAACTGATTCACAGATACTGATAATGGTGCCCTCAGGCTTGGTTCTCAGATTTGCAAACTGATACGTGCATTCCCCTGTAGAGGCCAACTCAAAAGCACATAACAAACAATTGAGAGCCAAAACACCCCTATGTTGGGGTAGGGTTTCCCTGTCCTATTTTGTCAGGAGCTAGGGTTTCATTACGCACGCAGCGGTTTCAAACAACCTATATCGGGTAGGCAACCTGTCCTAGTTTGGATTAGTCACTATGGATTCTGAATATGCACTAGGTCGAATGGTCAAAAGGGGTGCCCCAGTAAAAATCGGGGTTTGTGTTCCCGTCGTGGCAGAGCCCGCAATCGGTCAGCCTTATGGCACGCTTCTCGAAGTGTGCCTCCGACAAACCGTTCAGGAATAGCATACGGCAAACACGGTGTCCTAGGCGCACTAATGCAAATGCAATGCAAAGAAACACATAAGTGTCATCAAAACCAGATATCATGAGTTTGAGTCAAGTTCTCTAAATCCCCAGCGGAGTTGCCAGAAACTGTAGACGTCCTCGAACGTCCCGGGAGGGAAATCCCGTTTTGTTCATTTGAGGCTCACTACAGTTCAGGACTCAAAGTCATGGTCTTGTATCTAATCTCGCAGAGTACAATGCAAGACCGATGAATCGTTAAAGAGTCCAAATCCAGCAAATCGTGTTTGAAAACAGATTTTTTTTAAAGAAGTGCCAAACATGGACTGCTTTGCGACATACAGAGTCGCCACCTAAATATTTTATTTTGGAAAAATTTAGGAAACCCTGACTCGTGCCTAAGGCCACGTGTCCGTCATCACCAAAGTTGCATCGGCTCAGGAACTTGGGTACGATTGGGGAAGGTCACTTCGTGAGCACCCCCGCTCGCCCGATCAAAGATCGGCCTCTACTAACCATGATATCTAGTTTTGAAAACATTATGCATTCTTATTCCGGTTATTAGCCTAGATTTACTATGTGATGCACAAATAATGGAAATGCTGAATCAAATGGCGGTCCAGCTGCAACAAGAACAGAACTGCACATTTCTACAAGCATGCCACTTGGCGACAGAATGGTACCAAAAACACATGCATAAAACGCCATGTCGCACTTCTATACTAACCGGGAATACATGGATATGCGAACTATATGCGGGGCATATGGGTCGCTTTGAGGAAAATGTTTGCATGCCGAAGGAAGTTTTTGCCGCATTGTGTGAGACATTAGTAAATGATTTTGGGTTACAAGTCCCGCAACGTCCACATGGCTTAGCTGTTGAAGAAAGCGTTGCGATGTTTATCCATGTCTTGAAAGGGAAGCAAAATCGGGAAATCCAGGAACGGTTCCAACATTCTGGGGAGACTGTGTCGAGGCACGTGCATAACGTATTAAATTCCATGAAAGAGTTCACTGTTGTCCATTGCCGGCCCACATACAGTCAGCATCGTATACATCCATACGTGAGGTCTAGACGGAAATACCTACCGTTCAAGGTACTTCAGCAAAACATGATTGACATATAAATCAAGACAATATATATGGTTTTTGTTATTAACTGCACGTGACAAATTTGAAACACTTGTTACAAAGTTACGACTCAAAACATATGATCCATGTTGACAGGACTGCATTGGCGCAATAGACGGAACACATGTCAGTGCATGGGTTACGGGGCCAGATGCGGCAACATATTTCGGTAGGAAATACTGTCACACACAAAATATAATGGCCGCTGTCGATTTTGACATGTGTTTCATATTCATTTCTTGCGGATGGGAAGGAAGTATGCATGATAGTCGCATATTCAACGAGATACTAACAAATGACAACGTCCCATTCCCACATCCTGACGAAGGTAACACATGGCCATGTTATTAGATTTGTTAACAAATACTTATTTGCTGACAAAGCGTTATATGAAAATGACGCAGAATGTTGGTTTTGGTGTCATACATTGTCGTCATGTCTGCAGGCAAATATTATCTTGTCGATTCTGGCTATGCAAACCGGATTGGTTACTTAGCACCATTCAAAGGCCACCGTTACCACCAACAAGAATTCCGGCGTATTGCAAGAAACGCGATGGCAAACACGCCAAGGGAATTATTTAACAAAGTCCACTCGTCCTTACGCAGTGTCGTGGAACGCACTTTCGGTATATGGAAAAATCGATGGGGGTTTATTCGAGACATGCCTCGGTATGACTTTGCAAATGTGCAAGTTCAGTTAGTAGGTGCGTCAATGGCATTACATAATTATATACGGCGAAACACAGGTAACCCAACAACTGTTCAGCCAATCTGTGACGAGGAAGAGGCTATGACAATAGTAAATGCCATACCAGAAGTTGAACATGACGAGGATGGTTTAATGGTTGGAGATGAGGACCCCCATATGGCATTGGTCCGCCTTCACATACATGACAAATTATGTTACATGCGTAATAACGGAATGTTAGGAAATATATAGTACTCGAAATAATGTTCGTATGGTCGTCACGTAATGACACACGTGGAACAGACTGTATTCAAATATATTATTATGTATAATATGTATGAGTTGCCAGGGGAATGTAACCCCTTCCAGTTGCTGACGTGCCTAACTTAAAAAAACAACAATCCATACGAATTTTGCTTTTGGAAAAATAAAAAGAAGGTGAAACAAATAAAAACAAATTAAAAAGAAAACTAATACACAAATTGTAAAGTGCGACGAGAATTACAAATAAATGAAACACATAAATATATTAAAAAAAAGTTATTGTATACCAATTAAAAAAAACAAGACATAGTTAAAAATAAAAATCCAAGACAAAAAAAAA